TCTGCTGTGGCCCGGGAGTGGAGTGAGTGGAGGATGGTCCAAGTGCTTGGGCGATGCATCTGCATGGGAGACCAGGAGGAAGCACCTGGCTCCTGGCTTCAGATTGGTGCAGTGTCCATTTGGGGGGTGAAACAACAGAAGGAAGACCTTTCTCTCTCTCTCTCTCTCTCTCTCTCTCTCTCACTGTCTAACTCGGCCTGTCAAAAAAAAAAAAAATCTATGAACTTTACAGCACAAACCATAAAACAGTGTATTTAAATTAAAAGTACACAAATAGTGTATATATGCATATATATATGTGTGTGTGTATACACACACATATATAATATTAAAGGATCTAAATGAAGGGGCTGGTGTAAAAAATGATGCGATAGAAATGTGCCAGGGGATTCCAATACAATCCCATCAAGAATGCATGTACCAATGCCACCTCACTAGTCCAAGTGATCAATTTCAGGTCACAATAGACCATAATGACAGGTTTAAGAATCAAAGGGATCACATAAACAAGACTAGTGTCTGCTAATACTAGCTGATAGAACAAAAAAGGGAGAGAACGATCCAACATGGGAAACGGGATACACAGCAGACTCATAGAACGGCAGATGTCCTAAACAGCACTCTGGCCTCAGAATCAGCCCTTAAGGCATGCGGATCCAGCTGAAAAGCCCATGAGAATATTTCAGGCATGGAAAGCCAAGACACTCTGGGGGAAAAAAAAAAAAAAAAACAAAAACAAACAAACAAAAAAAACCAAAACCTAAATGAAAGATCTCTGTGAGTGAGATCCCAGTGGAAAGAAAGGGCCATCAAAGAAGGAGGTACCTTTTTCTCTGAGGGGTGGAGAGAACTTCCACTTTGACTATGGCCTTGTCGAAATAAGATCAAAGTCAGAAAACTCAGGGGGGCCTCCATGGCCTTGGCGACTCATGACTAGAGCCTGGGGAGATTTCTGACGCCATAAACAAGACTGTCAATTTGTTAAGCCAACAACAGGAGTCACTGTGTACTTACTCCCCATGTAGGATCTCTATCCTTAATGTGTAGTTCAATGTGAATTAATGATATGACTAGTGCTCAAACAATATTTGGCACTTTGTGTTCTGTGTGGGGGCAAACTGATGAAATCTTTACTTAATATATACTAAATTGATCTTCTGTATATAAAGATAATCAAAAATGAATCTTGATGTGAATGGAATGGGAGAGGGAGCGGGAGATGGGAGCGTTGTAAGTGGGAGAGAAGTTATGGCGGGGGGGAAGCCGTTGTAATCCATAAACTGTACTTTGGAAATTTGTATCTACTAAATAAAAGTTAAAAAATATGATGCGATATAAGCAACTTTGTAAATGAATGGAGTCATTAAAGTTAGCAGTGAAATATTTTTAATTGGTAAAGTTATTTTATTTTTTATATCAAGACATTGGTTAACAATTCTAAAATACTAAAATTGAACAATTAAGTAAATAAATGGCCAATATGGTAGTTAGGTTTCTCAGTGTTAGAGTTGAAGCTATATAATAGACTACTATGTGTAATGATCCAATTAAAATGCCTTACAGTTGGAGACATCAATGTTAATTCATATATAGCTTCATGTATGTTCAGATGCTTCCACAGAAACAGGAATAAACACAAATTATGAATGCATGGCTTGGTACATGCACGTATATTTCCTTACATGTCCATTTGTGTCATCCTAAACACAAACAGCTTAATGGCAAATAGCACACCAAGCATCCATATCTTGGTTTATGGAATAATTTTGCAGCAAAAAGAAACAATGTTTTTTGTAGAAATGACTGATTCTAGAAATGGGACCAAGAAAAAGAAAGTATGCCACGAACCTGTAAAAAAGTAAGATGATGATATGGTGAGCAAAGTAACTTTCTTCCAAATTATAGAGTAGATATTCCAAAGTTATTCCAAAGAATAGAGTAAAATTGAAGATAAATGCATAATTTGCAATGAAGGAACTTGATAAACTATTGCAGCAGCTGATTAATGTTTAACATCAACAGTGATAAGTAATTAAATATCATACCCCTCACATATGATGTCAAGGATTAAGGCATTGCCTTTGTTGTCTTCCTCCCTAAAACAAAGATATCTAATCTAATCATGGTCGGTAAAAAGTCAGTCAAATAATAATTGAATGACATTCTACAAAATACTTGACCAGTAATCTTCAAGATCATTAATGACATTTTAAAGAAAGTAAAATGTGATAAATTTCACTGCCATGACAAAGCTAAGGAGATCTAATGACCACATGTCTTTTCTGATAGTGGCTGGTATCCTAGAAAAATAAATGTACATTAGGTAAGAATTTCGAAATCTGAATTAAGCATGACTTTTAATTGATTTCAAAAGTGTAAATAATTGATTTTATTATAAAAATGTATCATAAGACTATGAATATGATATGATGCTAATATGAGAAACAGAGTGTGAGGCACACAAGTCCTAAATCATTGTTTCCATAAACTATTGATGACCTTGGAGAGCTGATGAAAGTAATGAAAATTAGGATCAGGAATATGACATTAGAAATAGAGCTTGAATAATAGGTCAAATTTAAATTGTAGTGGCTGAGTGAGAGAGACCCAGAAGACCCAGAATGAAAGAACTACAGAAATATTAAACTCAGAAAAGAATGTGGTGTAGACTTGATCTACTGAGTTTTTTTTTTTTTTTTTTTCAGGCAGAGTTACACGTTAGACAGTGAGAGAGACAGAAAGAAAGGTCTTCCTTCCATTGGCTCACCCCACAAATGGCCACTAGGGCCAGTACGCGGTGCCAATCTGAAACCAGGAGCCAGGTGCTTCCTCCTGGTCTCCCATGCAGATGCAGGGCCCAAGCACTTGGGCCATCCTCCACTGCACTCCCGGGCCACAGCAGAGAGCTGGATTAGAAGAGGGATAACCGGGACAGAACCAGCACCCCAACCAGGACTAGAACCTGGAGTGCTGGCTCCACAGGTGGAGGATTAGCCTAGTGAGCTAAGGTGCCAGCCTCGATCTAATGAGTTTGAAGCCAATGGATTAGTCTGGTGTATACTTTGAAGGTAAATGCATGCAAATACAACTCATTTGTTTTGTAAAATTGACAGTACATGAATACAAATTTTAAAATTCTTTGAATATTTGCTGAGGTAAGAAATTTTTTTTAACAATAAATTTCAAAATGTCAATGATGTTAAGCCAGAAATGAGAAGAGAAGAGACAAGTTTGTGAGGTTATTTATGTGGTCTGTGTGAGGGGTATTAATGCCTTAAAAAAGGAAGAACAAAAAAGACTGAACCAAGAAGAGAAAACAGAAATTTGCAGATGAGACATGATGATGTGCTTGATAATATGGAGATCATAAAAAGATGAAAGAGAACATCACTAAGTTTATTCAGTTATGAAGTTAGTAGTGAACTTAAAAAGAGGCTGATTTCAGGTTGTTAAACATTGAGTTATAAGTGAATGATGGGGAAGAGTGAAATGTACTGTATTTCTTGCAGAAAGGGCTGGAGTGTGCATGCTAAAATTCTGTTAGAGTCCTGGCTCTGCTGTTTCCTTATTGTGTTTAAAAGACATGTGACTTTACAGATCTAAACCCAATTTATTCACATACACATTAAAGGAAAGAATAATATGACTCATCAGCTTGTTGAAATCATTAAATGCTTAGAGCAAAAGTGTTGTGCGGTGTATACTCAGTGATAGTAGCTATTCCTACTATCACTATCACATTTTTTAAAATGCCAGCAAAGAAGAGGCGAGAAGAAGAGTTATTTATTGTCTTAGGTAATTTTCAGTGTTGATATATTGGTATCAATGTGGATATATCCACATTGAGGGGATAATGGATTGGCAAAGATACAAGTAAGTTGTATTTGGAGATGTTTCAATTGATGGTAAAGTATGGCTGCACTCATATAAAGCTGAAAGGAGGAAGATCAGACATCACAGGAGTGAAAAGTTCAGGGAAGTTAAGGCCAGAGTAGTACTGAGAAGATCAATGTGCATGTTTAAAACAGATACCCAAAGCCACTTTAAAATAACCCTTGGCCATAACTGACAGAAAAGGCCCCACCTTGGGTAAGTGTGTTGCACAACAGTTAGAGTTGGCTCTTGGAGACAACTGCCTCTCTGATGAGAGTGTGTAGTTCAAGTCCCAGCTCCTCTTTCAATCCAGCTTCCTACTAATGTGCATTATGGGAAGCAGCAGATGATGTCTCAGATATTAGGGTCCCTAACACTCATGTGGGATCCTGGATTGAGTTCCATGTTCCTGGCCCAACCATAGCTATTGTGGGCATTTAATGAACCAACAGATGGAAGAACTTTCTCTGTCTCTCCATCAATCTTTCTCTTTCTCTGTCTCTGCCTTTCATATGAAATAAAAAAAAAATAAATATTTTTAAAAGAGAAAGGAATCTATCTCTTATGGCTGTCAGAAACTCTATATTTATTTGCTTCTGTAATTTTCTGATATTTTTCACTTAATATTCTCAGAGCTAATATCATAGTCACCATGGCCCCCTTTGTTGCTTTCTTGGGTACAAATAAAAATATTGACAGTAAAAGGTTGCATGACAGTGTTACTAAAAATAAACTGGTAAATATAAATATAGAGATGTAATGGGATACAATTTTAAATATATTGATTCGTGGTAATATAGAGATGAATTTATTCAACCGTAGAGTTTCACAACAGTGTGGAAACCTACTGTCTCTTGCAAACTTTTGATTTTCATGTGGGATGTTCACAATGAAACTAATAATATTCAAAGTATTTCTTCTTTATTATGATACAAAATAATGTATGATAACATGACCCAGAATTCTCCAAGTTTTATGCTGATTTCATTTGTCTCAAATAATGGCATAGAAATTTGAAAACCAATAGAAAGAATCCCAGAATGGAAGTTCAGATTAGAGCTGCTTAGTTCTTCAAGTAAAAGCATTCGCTCTTTTATTTTATTATTTTAAAGATTGATTTTATTTATTTGAAAGACAGAGTTACAGAGAGAGGTAGACAGAGAGAGAGGTCTTCCATCCGCTGGCCCATTCCCCATATGGCTACAAGGGCCGGAGCTGCACCAATCCGAAGCCCAGGAGCCAGGATTTTCTTCGGGGTCTCCCACGTGTGTGCAGGGGCCCAAGGATTTGGACCATCTTCTACTGCTTTCCCAGGCCATAGCAGAGCTGGATTGGAAAAGGAGCAGCCGGGACTCGAACTGTCACCCATATGGGATGCTGGCGCTTCAGGTCAGGGCGTTAACCAGCTGTGCCACAGTACCGGCCATCACTCTTTGTTAGTTTTGCATTTTTAAAAAATTTTCCTCAGTTGTTTGTCCATGCTTATTTCCTATTTCTTTAATTTAAAAGTGAGACAAGCTGCCTCCTACAGTGCCAGCATTCCATATGTGCACCAGTTCAAGTCCAGGCTACTCTACTTTTGATCCAGCTCTGCTATGGCCTGGGCAGGCAGTGGAAGATGGTCCAAGTCCTTGGGCCCCTGCACCCGCATGGGAGACCCAGAGAAAGCTCCTTGCTCCTGGGTTTGGACTGGCGCAGCTCTGGCAATTTTGGCCAACTGAGGAGTGAACCAGTGGATGGGAGACCTCTCACTCTCTCTGCCTTTCCTTCTCTCTCTGTGTAACATTGATTTTCAAATAAAAAATAAATCTTAAAAAAGTACTACAATAAGACAACACATGATCAAAGTCCTGATAAAGTTTAGGAAATTGAGAAGCTTAGCAAACTAGACTGATTGTTTTGAAAATGAAGACATACAAACAAATAAAAACCTGAGTAAAGGAATCAGTGGAAATCCACAATGAAAGTTGGACTTATAAATACTGAAATATATGTGTAGGTATACATGTTATTGTTTTATAATGGTGGATATGAAAGGAAAAATTATGAGCTTTTTCTCAAGGGTTTCAGACATTATAACTAATTGCATGAACATCTTCATGTCTCTTTCATCCTGGGATGAAGTTACAATGATAGTATAATTTAAGAATAAGAAAGTACATTGTAATAGTAATTTCTACCTATTATGTCTCTATTATAGATAAATGCACGTGCCTGTATTTGTGTGCTTGTGTGTTCACAACAATAAAGAGTTTGGCAAATGGACCATTAGCCAACAAGTATTTAGGGTAAATGAATAGAGATGGATGGAACAGGGCAGACAAGGTTCAGATTAGAGATGACTGCTGCAGCTTGGTAGAGAATTTGTCCTCTCTCCTAATGTATATGTCAGGACTTGAACACACTCAGTGTAGTAAAAAGCTGGAATGAGGAGAGATGAGGCTGAAATAGAGCAAGTTAAAATGGGTATTCCCATTTTTTGTACTGTGTTTGAAGCACATGATGCAAGAAAAAACTAGGATTATCAAATTTTTAAAAAGCAGCCTAAATAGCATCCTCTGAGAAAGTCAAGAAAGACTTATGGAAATAGAATAAAACACAAGGCAGAAAATCCTAGTTAAGAATATACAATTAGGGGCTGGTGTAGTAGTGTTCCAGGTTAAGCTGCCTGCAATAGTGGTATCCCATATGAGTGCTGAGTTGAGTCCCTGCTGCTCCACTTCTGATCCAGTTCCCTGCTACTCTGCCTGGGAAGGCAGTAGAAGATGGTCCAATTACTCAGAACCCTGTCAAATAGGTTGGAGACCTGGATGGAGCTCCAGGCACTTAGCTTCAGCCTTGCTCATCCATAGCTATTGTGGCCATTTTGGGATTGAAGTAGCAGACGGAAGATTCTCTCTCTCTCTCTCTCTCCCTCTCTCTCTCCTTACTTCTCTGTAACTCTGTTTCTCAAATAAATAATTAAATCTTGGGATCAGCACTGTAGCAGAGTAAGCTAAGCTTCTTAAAGACTCTAGTTCGTGTCCCAGCTGCTTCTCTTCTGATCCAGCTCTCTGCTGATAGCCTGGGAAAGCAGTGCAAGATGGCCCAGGTGCTTTGGCCCCTGCAACCATGTGGGAGACATAAAAGTAGCTCCTGGCTCCTGGTTTTGGATTGGCCTTGTGGCCTAGTGGCCATCTGGGGAATGACCAGTAGATGGAATATCTGTCTCTCCTTCTCTTTGTCTGTCACTCTGCCTCACGAATAAATTAAATTAAATTAAATAATTAAATCTTTTCAAAAGAAAGGATGAAAATACAATTAACTTGAATCCAGAGCATCCAAAAACCCTCAAATTAAAAATATGATAGGGGGCCAGCTTTGTGGCATAGCGAGTAAAGCCGCTGCCTGCAGTGCCAGCATCCCATATGGGTGCTTTCAAGTCTCAGCTGCTCCACTTCCAATCCGACACACTGCTAAGGCCTGGGAAAGCAATGGAAGATGGCCCAAGTCCTTGGGCCCCTGTACTCGTGGGGGAGATCTGGAAGAAGCTCCTGTCTCCTGGCTTCGGAGGGGCCAACTGGGGAGTGAGCCTGGGATGGAAGACTTCTCCATCTTTCTCTCTACCCCTCCTCTTTGTGTGTAACTCTGACTCTCAAATAAATAAATAAATCTTTTTTTTTTAACAGGCAGAGTGGACAGTGAGAAAGACCTTCCTTTTCCGTTGGTTCACCACCCAACGGCCACTGGGGCCGGCACGCTGAGGCCTGCGCACCACACTGATCTGAAGCCAGGAGCCAGGTGCTTTCTCCTGGTCTCCCATGCGGGTGCGGGGCCCAAGCACTTGGACCATCCTCCACTGCACTCCCGGGCCACAGCAGAGAGCTGGACTGGAAGAGGAGGAACCAGGACAGAATCCGGTGCCCCGACTGGGACTAGAAACTGGGGTGCCGGCGCAGCAGGCAGAGGATTAGCCCACTGAGCCACGGCGCCGGCCAATAATTTTTTTTTAAAGCTCACAGAGAACAGAAAAATTCAGGGTAGGAAACTATCATAAATTTAGTACAAGGAACCCTCTGAGAACTGAAAATTCCGAAGCTCCATGTAGGAAGGAACCACTAAGAATGATCAAAGATCCATTTTGTGAAATCTTATAACAATGAGGATAAGAAAAAATGTGTGCAAAAATCGCATCACACAGAGAGGAAGGAGAGACACACCCATTCTTCTGTGTCTCTATCTGGGTTAAATACTAGCATATCACAGAAAGGTATCTTCAAAATATTGAGGAAAAATAATTGCAAATGAATCATTTACCCTCTAAAACTGTGCATTAGGTGAGGGGGAAGGGAGTTCCAAGCCACAAGGGTGCAATCTCATATTCTTCTTTTCTGAGGAAGTGAATTGAGGCTGAATCCCAATTTTTATGAGATCGGTGTTGGAATGTTTCCAGGGATTTCTACAGAGAATAGCACAGCTCTTCTGAACTTTGTATCACTTGGTGAAAGTCTGCAACTCAAGATCTGGGCTGTAATTATTTTGTCACTTCCTTCCCTCTCTCTTCCATTTGACTTTGCTGAATAATTTTGATATCTGCACTTAAGTAATGATTGCAAGGTTTATTTCATATGGTAAAAGTGGTTAGTTTTAGAGTATGATCAAGCAAATCCATAATTCAAAGATTTGATGTTTACCTTAGGTTTTAAAGATCTCTGAACTTACGCAATATCATGTTTTATGCAATAATTTTATGTAAATTATTTGATGGACTACATATGATTATAACTAGAATTTACGAATCAAGAAATCTTGGAGGAAATTTAATCAATACTAAGTGCAACAAATTAATTTTACCATAAGGAATAGAACGCTGGGGGACTGTGCATGAAGTTTCCCAATATGACGTTTCTCATCAGACACAAAATTTGGTACAAAAGAAATTTCAGATTATTCCTAGGATACAATCACATTGTTCCACTCTTAGGTGTTGGTCTGCTACTTCAATGAATACAATTAAAGGTGATATTTTTAAAATGTATAAATAGGATACATAAATTACATTTAATATATACTTTATAAAGGTAAACATGCAAGGCAGTAACAAAAGTATGATGTAATTATTAATAGTAAAAATTCTCTCACAAATCATAAACACTTTTTGTATTGCTCAATGGTTGAATGAAGGCCGGGAAATGTGTTATTATCAATAAAAAAGAATCCCACAATAATACAAGTATTAAGAACTAGGCCCAGTGCTTGTCATAGAAGATATCCATCACACTTCCTATTTACAAGCACCAAAAAATTATTTTAATGTTATCACTCCTCTGGTTCTCCATTTACCTGAAATTGTTTCCATTTGAGTTTTTTCTTTTCTGCATATTTATTTTCTCGCTTGAATGTTGTGCATGAAATGTTTTCTTGGGAAAAAATGCTGCCAACATCTATGTGGTTGTTGTGAGCTGAATGTGCCTCCTCCTAACACACATGTACCTCAAAATGTGACTGTGCTCAAAGACAAAGCCTTTAAAGAAATAATTAAGCTTACAGAGGCCCGATGCATAGGCACTAATCCAGTAGCATTGGTGTCCTTGTAAGTGTCTGTAAGTGACATGGAACTTAAGCTCAGAGGTAAAACTGTGACAAAGCTCTCAGAAGAAGCCAAAGCTACTGACACCTTGATCTTCGCCTTTTAGCCTGCAGAATTGTGAGGAAATAAATTTCTGTTTTAGAAGACACAGTCTGTAGTTCTTTGATACTGAAGCCTTAGCACTGGAATGATATTGCAAAGATAAAGACAGATACTGAAGATGTGCACATTTGGTAAAATATTTGTCAGTTTCATAGTTTTGCTGTCATGTGCTTGAAATGACTTGTCCCTCCCCAGTGTTTCTTTTTTTCTTTAATGCCAACACTACTACTGCTGTTGCATGTCTGCAGACAGAGATAGATTCTTTGCAAAATGCAAAATATAATAGTTCCCAACGAGAATCCTCCTGTCTATAGCATTGGTCTTGGAGGAGTACCTCCTTTCATTGTGCATCATGTTGCTTGGACAAACCCAGAAGTTGCCTAAAATTTTCTCTCCAGTATGGTTATGACATAATTAATTTTTTAAAAAAATGACATGTCTTCCAAAGTGTGTTTTGCTGCAAATGATTACACTCCATGAATATTGCAATGCAATTGCAAGGGATGAATCAAAGGTAAAACTGAGGCTATAGTGGAGGAAAACAAGTTCAGCAGCCATTCTTGATAGGCAGAAGAGTATGCAATTGGAAGGTGGCAAAGAAAGGGATGAGAGATGCAGATTCATATGGCCCCATTGCCGCAGCATAATCTTTAGTCAGACAATTTTAAAACAAGTGTTTGTGAGAGAATAGAGATGAAAATAATTTGCCATTGTCATCGATGCTTTTACCTGTTTTCCCATGTATTCATCTTCCTTTGCAATCTTACAGATATTACATATGCATACATGGATCAATATTTCATAAGTATGCCTAGATATTGACTGTATCTTCAGGGCGGACCTAACAACTCTGATTTTATTCCTATACATAGTATCAATGTTTTAGTAGTTACTTGATACATAGTATCAAGTATTTAGAGTTACATGATATTGAGAAATATATTACTTGCTATTTAGTCCACATTTATTTTGTGTTTCTAGATAGTGCACAATCTACATAAAAGTAATATATGTGACTGGTTTACTTAAATACTCATGGGATCTATGATTTCAAAGAAATTTGCATCTAATAAAAAGGTCTTTACAGAGGAGATGCATTTATTAGGATTATTGTAGATGAGAAAATGAAGAACTTTGACTTCTCATAGAACAATAATGTTCACAGAGCTGGAACCCATGTTAGTTAAGTCAGTAAGTTGCCTGATTTTGCACTTTTGTACATTTTATGATTTAGTCGTTGCTTTGGATTTTCTGTATTCCCTGATTTTTACTGTTTTCATTACATATAATAAATATTTTAGACATGTTATAAATTCATGACATTTCTTGATATGCATTTTGTTTCCACTCCTCATCAAGGATTAACTCAATTGGAAAACACTCTGAGAAGCTTTGGACCAATATTTTTCTTCCCCTGTTTAAAGTAAATGGCAATTTGTTCCCCCCAGAAATTTGCACAGAGGCACAACTTGCAATTTTATTTATGACTGAAAGCTTAAATGGTCTGGTGATTTTTAAAACCAATTTCCCACACAACAATACAGTGTTAAACAAAACCAATATTTATTTTAATGTGGCATTTGTGTCCTGAGGCTTCTCTTTAGAAAGAGGGATTTTTTTTCCTATTTCCTTAATTTTTTGGATAAAAAGTAATGTTTAATGAACACTTTTAGGATGAAGTAATGCTAAGATCAAACATTGCTTTTAGAATTCATGACTTACATATTGAATTTTATATGATCACATTTATTTCTGCTTTCTGAAAGGGTAGGAAAAACAAGTACGTTTAGGTACACAGTTTAAAAAAGAAGGAAAAGCCTTTGAATTGTAAGAAGATGGAGTTCGGAAAGTTGTCTTCTTGTTTTCTGGAAGGAATGGGAAGAGTCAGCGTGCTGCTATTGCTCGTTCACGCAAAGACGCTGTCTTTGTTTTGTTCTTCTTTATGCTGAATCCGGCCAGCCACCACGGCAGAGTGTAGCGTACACCACTTGAAATGGTAAGAGTTTCAATAGGCACTTTAGTGGAATTAAGAAAAATCTAACACTCTTCCACCGTGATGCCACATGGTGAGCTCCGTTCTGGTTGTCATGTCAGAAAAGTGTATGTATAGGCCTGAGCTTCTCTCAGTGTGTTTCTGAAATAATAGAACCAAACAAAGCAAGTACATGTTATAGGATTTATCTCATGTAGGCAGAATAAACAAACAAACAAACAAAAAAAACCTGACAAATATGATGAATAGAGCAACTTGCTAGAAATCAGATAGTCAAAGGAATAAGATCCTGTAAAGCATCTTGGGGCGGTCTGTGTGTGTGTGTGTGTGTGTGTGTGTGTGAAATTTCTTTTGGGTCTTCTTTCCTTTTTTAAAACTCCTCTGTTCCGCCGTGTTGCAGCCTTCGCGTCTCCTCTAGGTGACTTTATCAGGGTTATAACTCTCTTCTTCACCAAACATGTCTGCCAAAACTTTGAAGCGCGGCCCCCAGCCTGTGAGATAGTCGTAGTCCTGGTCGGCCTCGGTAGTGAGCGAGTCTATGGAGCTGAGGGACTCGGCCACCGATCCACTGCCTTCGTAGGCGTATGTGGCCAAGGAGTCATAGGGTGGGGCAGCTGGGTCCACATCGTTTTCCTGCAGCCTTTGATTAATGAAATCCCTTATGTCTGTGTTGTCTTCCACTGGCGGTCTCTGCCGAGGTAAACAGAAGGTGTCTGGTTTTATATCCCTGCGAATTTTGTTCTCTTCAATCACTTTAGGGTTCCTCAGAGCCCCGATGTCGAAGGCCTGGGTGTCCTCTTCCCCACCTCCCTCATCATCGTAGTGGATGACATTGTCTCTGATGTCTTCTTTCGAGGTCATCAGGGTGTCTTTCTTCTTCTGCCTTCTCAGCGCTACGTACAGCACAACTATGGCTAAAGCAAGACAAAAACATTGCAATTTGAGACTAGACACTGAATGTGCCAGTTCATAGCTTCTTAATTGCAATTCATCAGAGCTTGCTGAGTTTTATTAAACTCCTACTATTTTTCAAAGTAAGGATACCATAATCAGTAGAAATATATGCTTATATTTTTTGGAAATTATAACTGACAAAATCCATACCAAAATTTTTAAAATCAAATAATTGTAGCATTATATTTAAATGTGTTAAGGTCAGGTGATCTGTTACTAAAGTGGGAAAAATGACAATATTTAAATAATAGAGTGCTGAAAGAGTGGGTGTAACAAGGTTTGAATATTAACTATATCATATAACTTAGACATCATTCACAGCCAACTTCTTAATTATAACTTTCTTGATTATGAATTAGAAATTTGTATTTCTAATGAACTATTGCAATATTTACTATCACAGTGACTTCTTAAAGCAACAAATAAGAAAGAGAGAAAGAGGAAGGGAGGGAGGGAGGAAGAAGGAAGGATAATATAGAATTGAAAAGCTTGATTTCTTAAGTATTGTATCAACTTAAACCTCTATTTTAATTCTGTTTTCAGCAATATTGGAGTATTTTTGAAATCAAATCCCTACAGTCTGGGTTACCTCCACAAAAGAAAGTAATATTTTGAAATAGCCAATTGTTGTACCTTCATTAATGAAATGTCTCCTCCTAGTTGACTCATAAACAGATCTTTTTTTAAAAGTTGTCTATCAGAGCATGGTATTTGTTTCTTCTAGGGGCTGGTGGGCGAAGATAGCAACAATGAAGTCAAAGCTCAGATTTGCTGGAGATAGACTCCCTATCCTGCATAGTAACAGCCATCAGATGACTGCTACAGTGTTTGAATGACCACAGCAGAATCTGGAAGAGCCCTGGTGTAAATTTAGAAATTTGAAAAGAATTAATGTACATGAACTTCCATTTATTTCTACTTTTTCCAAAATTAGAACAACAGGGTGGAGGAAGGAGACCTGGGAAGGATGTTGTAGGATGGGTCTTAGAGAGATGTTGAGCACCCATCACTCCGTTGAGGTTTCCAGGATTCCCAGAACTGAAGAGACTTCTTGGATCACACAGCCAGCATACAAGAGATTGTGGGTCTGATACAAAGCAGGGGAGATATGTGATTGCAGCATTGTCAAGGCTGAGAAATGCATTAGTTTGATATGTCTAAGGGCCACCTAAAAGATAACTGAGCACCACCAAATTCCCAAGTTTGTTGTCACTCCAAGAAGGGATTAAAAATGGCTGAGAACAAGTTCAAAGACCAAAAGGAGCCTGAGATTGAGCAAAGGGACAAAGAATAGATGGAGCTTTATGCAGGTCTCATGGCAAGAAAATGTTTCTATTCACAGCAGATTCACAATGTCCACATTGTGCCAATGCAGTTTGGACTTTCAGGAAGTATTTGAATGAATGAGTGGCAGGCAGATGACAATGTGTGGTAGTGATGACTGGAAAAAGTTATTTGCTGCACAATGGGAGAAGCAAAGAGGCCAAGGGAGAACATTTAGAACAGAGCAAGTCTTGCTAGGTTTGTATGGAAGTATTCCGGGATTGAGCTGTTAGAGAAGAGAAAATACGATAGAGAAGCACTTGTTTCAAACATTTAACTGTTCATGTTCAACGTCATATTTGAGAATGTTATTTTGAATGTGCTTTTCTAAGGTTTATATATTAAGCACAAACAGATACCAGGTGCAATCTATTATAACCGATAAAAACATAATGAATTGTTTGTTCTATACACCAAAGTTTCATGCAGAATCAATACTCCTATCTACATCATGAAAATGAGGCGAGAATCTCACCCTCTAATCCAGCATGAGTTTCTGATTCATGGAATGTTCTCAATGAACTGTTACATAACAACTTCCTTTATAAATCCTTTATAAATTACATACATACATTTTTTTTTTCAATTTTTCATTTCAAGGAGGGAGTTGTGGTGCAGGGGGTTAAGCTACCTCTTGGGATACCTGTATCTCAAAATAGAAAGCCTAGGATTGTGTCCCATCTACACTTCTGATCCAGTTTCCTGCTAAAGCATTTTGGAATCTACAGATGACAGCCAAATGGAGTTCTAGGTTCTGGACTTCAGTGAAACTGCAGATAGAAGATCTCTCTTACTCCGTCTGTTTCTATCACTCTGTCCTTCAAATAAACAAATAAAACTCTAAAAAAATAAAATCTTGATTATTATCCTAGAAAAAATGTATGCATCTCCATTTATCTAGATATTTTCTGGTTAAATAGTAAATGTGCACATATAAACTGATTTCACAGTGTCCAATTTTATGTCTATTGCAGTATGATTTGAAAGGAATGATTGACAGAACAGAAAATCTCATTACTTGTGTGTTCCTGGCAATGAATAAATAAATGAGATGAAGAAGATGAGCAGAGGAGGTGATGGAAGAGGGAAAGCCCAACGTAGATTTATCTTCCCTCTCACCAAGACGCTACGAAATACATATGCTTCAATCTCTTTCTGTTGCAATGCTTCTAGACATATCGGTCATTTTTTTTTCTATTCTAGGTGAATGGTTAGAATTTTGATGTTAGGAGATGTGGGAGAAAATAGAAGAAGAATTGCTTCTGGCTGGAACTATAACAGAATAAGAATAAATTTCTGGGCCCCTTTAGATTCTGTTTCTCTCCTGTCTTTTCTCTTTGCTTCCATTCTTTTTAGGTAGCAGGAATTACTAGGATATAAAGATAATTGAGCAACTATTATTGTTAGTGATTATTCATTACAGAGAATTTCACTGTGACAAGGGCTATAAACTGTTATTACTTGAAAACCCTCTAGTATTTTGGTTGATATTATTTATGTATTCCTAATACATAAAGAGTCTCCAAAAACATGTGGAAATGTGCATTATGAACATATATATTAGGAAAATATTATGCATAGATGTTAAATTTTTGCACTGAAATAAATTTATCTTTTAATTCCATTTTCCACCAGCATTTTGAAGTACCCTTGTATGTCTGTGAGGTATGAAATGCAATCAAAACTAATAAAACATAATATAGGCTATCTTAGATGAAGATATGACATCTCATTGAAGAAAAATAGATTTATATGGTAAATTGAGGACGGAGATTGACAGACTAGAGACAGATATAAGGGTCTGAGAAAGAGAATAGGAAGGGAGGAAGAGAGACAAAGAATGTTATTAATCTAGAAACTAACCTAATAGTATAACAATACAGAGTAGAATTGCAATCAAAGCCCCAGTGCTAAGTCCTACGGGCAGAAAAATTGCTTCCACGTTGCAGGATAAGATGGTACCATCTGAGTCACATCTACAAACTCGAATAGTCATTGTGTTTGTGCTGCTCTGAATGGGATAACTGCTGTCTTCAATTACAACAGGGAGGAAATACAACTCTTGCTGTCTGCGGCTGTATCCATTTCTTCGGGTTTCAATTCCAGCTGTGTTGTCTGCAAAACATGAGATTGTGATAACAGGGTTACTCTGAGCTTCATTTCAGGTCTTCAAATTGATATCACCTAAACAGTAGGAAGCTCATCTTGAATCCCAAAACACACATCCCTATTTTAATTTTTTCTTTAATCAACATGAAATCTGTAAAAATGTAATCAAAATAATATTTAGGGAAAGAAAAACATTTATTTTGTCTGCTGTAAGAATTAAATTCTCTATTCAGAAAGAATATAGAATGATTTACAAGACAAGAAACATATTTTGTTGAATGATTTCTTTCCTGACATGAAAATTTCACTGAGAAAAAAAGTACTTTTGTGAATTCCAAAATATAAATTTGTAAAATAGATTACATAAGAACTTATATTTTAAAAACATTAAAAATCAATTGAAAACCTCATATTAAACTTTGATTCATAAATAAATGTGTATATATCTCTGTGTGAGTCATAATATGTAAATATTAGTACATATGCATAAAAGGAAATTAAAATGTGTTAAAATGACAAGACATTAAAACTTTAAAAAGCTATGAATTATAACTAATTTGCTATAATTAATCTACATTTAATTTCACTACAAAGCACCTCATTATAATTCTTATTAATCTACATTTAAAATTTATAAGGCAATACAAATTATTCAAAATACTTTACATAAATACATTAATATTCTATTGAAAGTGTTATTTTGTTTCTAAACACAAAAACAAAAATTGAAATGTAATTTCATTTATTATACAGTTTCATTTTTGCTTTATTAAAGTAATTTCCAGAATATCTTTGCTTCTTCTAGAAATATATCAATGTGTAGTTATGATAGCCATTGACTCTACACATTTGCAAATTGATAAAAAATTAGAAAAGCATATTACTCATTACAATACAACAGCTCCGACAGAAACATGCTACTATTTCAATCATATCCCATTCTTCTATTGGTAGACTCTTAAAAAACAAAATTTAGGAAGCTTTTCTACACGCAATGCAATAAAAATTACTGATGAAAATGCTTTATATAATGTAATTATGATTTTTCTATGATAACATTAATTTGTTATTATATCAGGATGGAGTTTTTAAAATTGAAAAACAAAACACCAAGATGCCAGATGTCTACTCCAATATTCCCAATGAGAGCTGGCAAGGCCATATACCTGTAATGCCTGCAGGGATTAAGAAACTGAGACTAGCTGAAGTACTGTTAAGATATTCAAGAATCGATGGTTAACTATTTGAAGCTGGATGAAAGGAACAGTCAGGTTTAAAATCCATATTCAGGATCATAATGGCTAATAGAAATAGAAGGTCTGCTCTGTTTTCACATAGAGAAAGATGGAATTTGATATTATGAAACTCAATTGATGTCAAAAGGCAAACCAGTCTCATTTTAATGCTTACTTTTAAGTTAATATGTATTGAGAACTGACCTTATCCAATTTTTTGTGTATTCATAATTAGAATAAAGAAAATTTAGATCTCATTTCCATTCTTAAATTTCTTTCTTTACACACACACACATGCATGCGTGCACACACACACACACTCACCCTCACACAAACTTGCACTTACAAATATATTTTATGTTAAAACAGGGAACACAGTAAATGACAAGTGAAATTTTGCATCAAGCACAAATTCAGCCATTGAGAAAACACTCTTCTATGAGGCAAAATATCAAGTTCATAGTCTCAAGATTATTTTGATATAGATCCTGCAGCAAAGATTAATGGTAGAAAACAGTGCTGATTTTTAATGGTTGGTAAAACCACCTTCCTATTTGCCTAAGCTTATGATCAGGAAGTCGCATATCAAATCTGGAGAATCTAATATCAAGCCCTATCATTCTATCTTCATCTACTTATCTTCAAGCTCACAGTGATTGCTTCCAATCTGAGACTCACCATGGCCATGGTACCTGATCTGGTCTTATGTCCCTCTTGTGTCTTTTTCACACAGCTTCCAAACTGCTGTTCATGAAATGCAAATCTGAACATCTATACACGTGCTGAAACCGTGTGAAGTCATAAAATCACTGTATTAAAATTATTATCCTTTTAAATGGCTTATAGATAGTGATATCACATGGTCCAAGTTCTCTTATACAATCCTGTATAAGATTTAAAATTGTTAATGTTGCCCATTCTTAAAAGTATTCTAGTATTTCATGAGAAAACACATAGTCACTTCATAATGCACCTCAAATCTGGGGCACTGTTTCATTTTTAGCCACTTCTCACATTTTTTATTTCAACAAATCATATTCAACTCACATTGGTGAGAAAATGTAAGGGCTATGATTTTTTCCCCCATAATTATTGACAGCAAGCTAAGTTTTCCCAAAACATCTTTGACTCAGGTCAATTGTCACCATCATTACCATCACAGCATGATTTACTCACTTGTTCTTATAATAGCATAATTAATGAAAAATCAGCTTCTCATTACACAAAATTATAAAGCTGAGTATTTTAGTCTTTATTTTAAAAAACATGAAAACCTAGAGAAGATAAAATGCTTATAGTCTCAAAACTAATAACATCAGAATAGTCCCTGATTTATGATGGTCCTATTTGTGATTTTTAAAAAAATTTACAATGATACAAAAACTCATACAACTATTCATTAAATTTCATAAGATATTTGACATTGTCATTATCAAATAGGCTTTTTATTAGACAATGTTGACAAACTGGGGTGACATAAGCATCTGGATCATGTTTGTGGTAGGCTAGGATGAGCTATAATGTTAGGTTAGGTGATTGAAAAGTATTTTCCATTTAGAATAGTTTTAATTTAAGACACAATTGTCAACACATACCTCTTCATATATTGATAAAACTCTTTATTTCTACTCTAGTGTCCTTTATAATTTTTGTGAAGGTTGTAGTATGCTAATATGTAATAATATCAGTAGCAGTGGTAGTGATGAAAGTAGTATTGTTAATAGGCCAGTAACTATAACAAGGATGCAGAAGTAGAAACTAAATTTATATTGACAGTAATATATTTTAGACATTTGTTAAAGGTTTCATGTACATATAATTTTATTAGATGTTTAGATTCTACAGTTTAGGTAGTATGGAGTAGTAATGCCAAGTCTGTGTCAGTCTGATTACAATGTTCACATTCTTAACTTGTTCTGGACTGTACTATTCAAATAAAAGCTATTATACAGGTACCTATTTATATGAGCAATTAATATGGGTGTGAGACAAATGATACATTTGTAAAGGGAAGACATTCAGTTTCCTAGAGATCCTGTAATTAGTTTGGCCCATTAAGACTGTTCACATTTTTTAATGGAAGTTACCTGCCTCATTAGATACAGTCTATATAGATTAAATATTTTAGCATTGCTTTAGAATTTTGGGCTTTTTGAATGTGAATTTTTATTTTCACAAAATTGAGTGCTTTTAGGAAAAGCATTGATTTCCTTCTCTGTGCTCTTTGATGAAGATATATGATAAGAGACAAATCTTTACATGGTTATACTTACTTCTGAAGTCACGGACTGTAAAATTTGGTTTGATGGCAGCCTCAGGTGATAATCTAAAGGAGAACTGCTGCCCAGCAGGTGAAAGATCTCGGTCTGCAGCACTGACTATCTGAATTATCTGAAACAAAGTTGAGATTAAACTTGAAGTTAGTCATCAGTTTCAAGGAGGACTTTACACACCAGGTAAATCAGTTTATTTAATGAAGCATGCAAGGAGACAGAAATGACATTTTTGAATCAATATCAGTGGCCCAATTATTTATACACATAAATAAATCTCAGTGCATCTATAGGTAACAACATCAGGAGCAATTACAGGACATAGGCTAATTCCAATCCAATATTTGCATAACTAAAAAGCTTACCAGCACTGAGAATTCTCACTAATAAGCAAAATGAAATTAAAATTGACTCACTTGCATTTTAAATTAGATGAAATAAGTGCTTTATAACCTAAAAATGAAAATGCTTACTGTAAACAAAAAAATTTGATTATCTAAAAACCCTTGCAAGAGCAAAATTTTAGTGGTTATATTTGGGAGAATGAGCTTTATTTTCATAAATAAATAAAATGATGAGAAAGAGAGAATATAAGAAATGTAGATCTGCTTTTGTTGTTATGTTTATTTTCCCCCATTGTATGGTAACAAAATTGTGTTTTCACAGTTTTTAAAACAGTAAGCACTATTATCCCTATTTTAAACTTTTTCTAAATTGTTCCCCAAGTTGTTGTATATCTTGTCTTTAAAATACTGGTATTTCAAAAAGAAGTCCTTAAAATTTTAAACACAAGATAAACTGTGAGAGAAGAACTGTGAAATTTTATAATTCACTACATAGGTAAGCAAGTCAGAATGGCTTTGAGGCATGTTTACATTAACATGCCTAATATCTGTACATCATACATAATTTGGGGAAGAGTGTAAGGGAGAGAATGAAGGAAGTATGTCAGCCAGTGGCACTTGTCTCCCCCAAACTCATAAAAATATTAAAACTCAGATGTCTTAATGGTTGACAAGGTGAGGACCTGGTGTAATTTTGGCATCCAGGAGGTGGTTCCAGGGGGAGCTGTTCAGGATGATTGGGGGTGCCTTGCCTTCACATATTGGTCCTCCTGAGAGAGTTGATTGTTGTTATTAGTGTTCAAGTTGAACCTGGGTTCTCTATCTCTGCTTCCTATCCTACAATGTGATAATACCTCCACACCTACCATGATCAAGCTCCACAGGCACCAGACTATGCCTGATTCTTAACTCTAATCTCGAATCTGTCAACTGAAATAAACTTTTCTTTTCAAAAAAGTTCTTCTCAAGCATTTTAAGGTAAGGAGAAGCAGAATAAAAAAACAGGTGATCACGCTCTTACACAAATTTGGATTTTCCATAGGAAGACCTTTTAGTTAGTAGAGTATCCTATTCCCAGTGTGTGAAGCAAGCATCATGTGACATTAGATTCATTATATTAATCCTGAGATTTATCTATTACTTTTTAAAGAATTATTTATTTATTTGAAACACAAAGTTACGGAGAGCAGAAGCAGAGAGCGAGAGAGCAAAAGTGAGAGAGAGAGAGAGAGAGAGGTCTTTCATCCTTTGGTTCACTCTCAACTGGCAGCAATGGCCAGAGCTGCACTGATCCGAAGCCAGGAGCCAGGAGCTTCTTCCAGGTCTCCCACGCTGGTACGGGGGCCCAAGGACTCGGGCCATCTTCCACTGCTTTCCCAGGCCACAGCAGAGAGCTGGAGCAGCCGGGACTCGAACTGGCACCCATATAGGATGCTGGCACTGCAGGTGGCGGCTTTACCAGCTACACCACACGGCCAGCCCCTTATCTGTTACTTTTGGACACCATAGTTAAAATTTGTTTCTATGACTTTGATTTACCTTTTCAGATGGTTATACACAAACAGAGTAGATAAATGATAAATTAGTATGTAGGTAGATATATGAGATAGCTGGATCAATCGATTGATAGATAGATAGAGGTTTGTGTATAAAATGAATGAAGAAAGTTCCTAAGCATTAAATTAGAGCAACAATGGCTAGGGCTAAAAGGGCACCAAATTCTCTCATAATCTATTATTTGAAAATGAAAAGGCTATCTTAGGGGTCCAGCGCTGTGGCATAGAGGGGAAAACCATTGCCTGGGGTGCTAGCATCCCATTTGAGTCCTGGTTGCTCTACTTTCAATCCAGCTCTCTGCTATGGCCTGGGAAAACAGTAGAAGATGGCTCAAGTCCTAGGCTCCACACCCACGTGGGAGACCCAGAGGAAGCTCCTGGCTCCTGGCTTCGGATCGCCACAGCTCCAGTTATTGCAGCCATCTGGGGAGTGAACCAGCGGATACAAGATCTCTGTCTCTCTGCCACCTCTACCTCTCTGTGACTTTGCCTTTCAAATAAATAAATAAATCTTTTTTTTTTTTTTTTTTTTTTTTTTTTTTTTGGACAAGCAGAGAGGACAGTGAGTGAGAGAGACAGAGAGAAAGGTCTTCCTTTGCCGTTGGTTCACCCTCCAATGGCCGCCGTGGACGGCGCGCTGTGGCCAACATACCGTGCTGATCCGAAGGCAGGAGCCAGGTGCTTCTCCTGGTCTCCCATGGGGTGCAGGGCCCAAGCACTTGGGCCATCCTCCACTGCACTCCCGGGCCATAGCAGAGAGCTGGCCTGGAAGAGGGGCAACCGGGACAGAATCCAGCACCCCGACCGGGACTAGAACCCGGTGTGCCGGCTCCGCTAGGAAGAGGATTAGCCTAGTGAGCCGCGGTGCCAGCCTAATAAATAAATCTTTAAAAAAAAAAAAAAAGGTTGTTTTAGAATTATGCTTTCTACATAATCATTACTGAGTAGAATACCCAAAGTCCAACAGTTTCTTTTCTTGTTGTTTTGTTTTGTTTTTTAGAACAGGGCCCCCAAGAATCTACCTAACAGATTCCTCATGACTTTGTCCACGGGTAAGAAAATCAGTTTGATCTCTAATAACTTCAGACATTGACAACATCTTTTACGTATACTTTCTTCCCTTATAAATTGCACCCAAGAGAACATTCTCCCAGAGACATACTAATCGATAAAGACAATGCATTTCAGATATTCTGAATAACCCAGATCTTTTCCTCAAGACAAACGAAAAGGAAGCTTTACTTTGTCCATGAGTTTAGAAATTTTTTGCAACCTTTGTGAAAGTATATTAGAAAAGCAAAAAATATGCTAGAAAAGAAATGTACTCAGAAGTGTTGCTTATTGGGTATGTACTGAAAAATACTTTGAAAAATGCACAGAAAGTTGAAAAAAACAGACTCCACAATCAAAGGTCTTTAATTAGCGCAGGGATGTTTCCTAAGCAACCAAAACATTACTGTGCATGATATTCCTTCCATATCCATAGGCCTACCATTATATCACAAAGGGTTAGTAAGTGTTATGATTCTCTTGGGAAGCTGTCTGATCCAGAAAAAGAAATATATGTATGTATATTCATGTCTAGACTTGTAATTTAAAATAAAACGTATAATATATCTTGATACACTATTAATTAATGATATTGCTAAGTTACCTGTCCTGGTTTGGCATTTTCACATACAGCTGTCTCATATGGGACAGATATTTCTGGGGGAAATTCATTGACATCTAGGACATTAATCACTATGTTGACTTTGCTGGTTAATAATGGATTACCTGTTGAAAACATAAAAAGAGAAGAGATAATTATAAATTTTGGTCAGTTATTGATACCACAATAAATAGTATTTACATATTTTAAAAATTAATATTAAATAGAATAGAAAAGATCCTTCTTTTATGGAAAATTCTGGAAATTCCTTTTTTTTAATTAATTAATTAATTTATTTATTTATTTTTGACAGGCAGAGTGGACAGGGAGAGAGAGACAGAGAGAAAGGTCTTCCTTTTGCCGTTGGTTCACCTTCCAATGGATGGCCACCGCAGCCGGCGTGCTGCGGCCGGTGCACCACACTGATCCGATCGCAGGAGCCAGGTACTTATCCTGGTCTCCCATGGGGTGCAGGGCCCAAGGACTTGGGCCATCCTCCACTGCACTCCCTGGCCACAGCAGAGAGCTGGCCTGGAAGAGGGGCAACAGGGACAGAATCCGGCACCCTGACTGGGACTAGAACCCTGTGTGCCAGCGCCGCAAGGCGGATGATTAGCCTAGTGAGCCGTGGCACCAGCCTCTGGAAATTCCAACTACAAAATGATGAAAAGACTAATAAGCGAGGTATCAAAGTTTAGATATCAGGGCACCACAATGCATTAGTCCTTATCTCTGAAACTCATCACCATTTAGCTGATATTTTATAGTGAGTTCAGGGTCTTTCTAGTAGAATAACTCAACCATCTTTTTAAAGCTAGAAACCTTTTATTTAGGGTACACAAATGGTGCATTCCATATATAAAAATTTAGGAACACAGTGATTCTTCTCACCCTACTCTCCTTCCCACCCGCACTTCCACCCTTCTTCCCTCCTCTCCTAGTCACATTCTTATTTTTCACAAAGATCTATTTTCACTTAACTTTATGCAGATATATTACCCCTACACTAAGTAAAGAGCTAATTTCTCCAAGAAGCTTCCTTCTGAAAAGGATGATAAATAAAGAGGATATCAAAGAAGAGAGGGTTTTTCATAAATAAAAGTCAAAAAAATAGATTAAAGGTAGAAGTGTGAGATATTATGGAAAATAAGGATATATTCTGAAATTAACTGTTGGTGATTAAAAAAAAGCAGAAAAAACAAATTTTGGTAATGAGTAACTGCAATATCGTAAAGGAGGTAGTTTTAACATACTATCTTTGCCAAAATCCCATGCCAAATTTTGTCACATTCTATTGAGTTATCATCCATATCCCTGTCATTTCCTAAAACCTAGAAATTATCTATTAAAAGTAACAAAATGTACATTTTTAATTTATTCAATATAAATATTAATTAATTTACACATTGGGTAAACTCTAATTGTTCAAGGATATTTCCCATAGATACCCAGCAAGAAGAATGAGAATTTAGGATGCAAACTATGAATTATGAAAATCTAAAGACCACACTTTTGCTACTATACCTTCTCTGTTCATTAGTTTACATGTTGAACATATTTTTAATAGAAATGAAGTTTCATAATATTCTTTTAGACCTCTATCTGTAATGCTTAAAGAATGCATATAAAATTTTATCACATGACTGATTCTAATAAGTCTTCAAGATGCTGCTGAGTTAAAATTCATTAAAACAAATAAGACTTAAGAAACGTTGGGGGCCTGTGTTGTGGCACAGAGGGTTAATGCCCTGGTCTGAAGCACCGGCATCCCATATGGGCACCGGTTCGAGACCCGGCTGCTCCACTTCCGATCCAGCTTTCTGCTAAGGCCTGGGAAAGCAGTGGAAGATGGCCCAAGTACTTGGGTCCCTGCACCCACGTGGGAGATGTGGAGGAAACTCCTGGCTCCTGGCTTCAGATTGGTGCAGCTCCAGCCATTGCAGCCATCTAGGGAATGAACCAGCAGATGGAAAAACTCTCTCTCTCTCTATGACTCTGTATAACTCTGAATTTCAAATAAATAAATAAATCTTTAAAAAAAGTTCACATGTGACATAATTAACTCCATTATTATGTTCCGCTACAGATCCATTTAGCATCAAATGAGAATAATGGGTATATTTTGAAATTAGTGCTGCAATTAGGAAAGGTATGTTGATAAACGTGGAGAATGATTTAAAAAAAATCCATATTATTAAAATTTCCACTAGTTATAGGGTATTATTTAAAAACAGAATTGGTTCAATGATAACAAGTTTAGCCTTTATCAATGTAATTTTTTCATGTGAAGTGTATGCTATTGATAGGCCTTACTTCATGTGGTTGCATGAAATGTGATGGTATTTTACAAAATGTTTAATAACTTTTGGTAAATTAACAAACTCATGTTACCAACTATACTTTGGTAGATTTTTTATCTATTTCTGTTAATGGTAGTCATTATTTATATAGCATAAAGAATAGATAAAATCAAATAGTTTATTTACATATTAAAAATACACATAAACTAGATTAATTTTCCTAAACAAACTGGATGATATCAATAACAAATCAATTCCAGATACTTTATAATGGGTCAATGTCCTCAAGAACTTTATGGAGCTTCATTCATTTATGGACATGGCAACCATTCGGTTGGCATAGAGATGGGCTGTCTTTCACATGGGATGAGACTTCTCCCTACACTCTATATATCACACAGGTGTGCTTATATCATACATACATAAATAATAAATTCAAAAGTTACATTGAATTAATTTAGCCCTAGTTTTATCCATTACATACATTTGAAACAAAATATGAAGCTACTCACAATTTTAATGACATTTTGAGAAATAACCCCATATATTGTATAAAGTATAATAGGCCAAATGAATCAAAGGTGGATAAGACATACTCTTTGATACTCAGAAGCTCATCTCTAATTAAGAGGGTTAATATACAAACATATTTAATATGGTATATTATATCAATAAAATAACAATTTCATCTGAAAATATTTCTCACTTTTGGGTCCCATTTGTATGTGATATGAAAAGAAATTTTTATAAATGTATAAGTATTATCTCTTATCCAAATTTCAACTTTTAAGTGAAAAGTAGATCATGTAGTTTTACATTCTCAAGAAAGTCATAACTAATCAAGGAAAAAATAAACCTGGAATTAATGTTTTATATATATAATTTTGATGGAGCAATTAGATTGATTTAAAATGCTTCTAAGCAGTTGATTATTATAGTATACCCATAAACAGTTGCAAGTTTAAAATAAAATATAAAATATGACAACATAAATTTAGATTATATTATATTTGCATGTCATAATACTGACAAAAATTTTATTATCTTTAAATTAAGTTGATGATTATGATGGTGTTAATGATAATTATTTCCAAGTATATGAAACATTTGGGTGTTCATGAAATACTGTGAAAACTTTATGTGATTCTTTCTTCAAAGCATGCATCTTTACAACTACTATTAAGGTGCTGCCAATCTAGTATAAATTAAAATAATCTTTCTTTGAAAACACAGAATACTTTCATTTAGCTACTTGGGAAAAGAGAAGGATCAGAAAACGAAATATTAACATATAGATGCCTATATGTAAAACAAGGCATTCAAGAAAAGTAGGAGGAAAGCAAATATTTGGTCTATTATAAGAAGAAAAAATTACAACTGATTTAGAAATGAAACAAACTACTGATTATATTTTGTCTTCCAAAGTCAACTCTACAGATATATATATATGTGTGTGTATATATATATACTTATATATATATATTCATGGTGATGAATTCCACTCTTAAGTATCCCCAAATTTGTGCTCATCATAAGGACACTTGAGAATTTGGCTTGGTGGTTCCCAGACGAGTCCCCATTTGAATAACCTGATAAGTTTGCTTAAAATGTAAACTTATTGGCAATGATTCCAGAAATTCTGACTCAACATCTCCTTTTCTGTCTAAAAATATGTTCTTTACAAACTGTCTCAGCTGACTATGATGCCAGTGATATTTGTTGAGATAGTGAGGGATACTAGTACAGAAGAAAAGACCAAACCAAGGACACCTAATCAAAGTCAGGGTGTATAGGAGTATCAATATCTTTTTTTTCCTTAAATTTGTGGCCAATTTAGTGACGAGAATATTGCTGCTCAGGCAATTCAGAAAATAGAAATTCATTATGTCACTTAATCCCTGCAGATGTTAACCATGGTCAGCTGGGTTGATACACTATAAACCAGCACTGACTGGCTCACAGGAATACAAATCCAAGAACATAACCATCTTCCAAACCGAAAGGATGGAAAATTTGCAGAATTCATAGGCCTTTTGAGACTGTTTTAAACTAGAGAAACACAGGTGGCAACAATGGGAATTATAATTGAGTTTATAACCCTACTGGAAAAAGTGCAAATTCTTAATAAAGCTTTTCAATTTGCCTGGACGAGGTCTCAGGATTCCTTTTGCAAAGTAAATACTTTTCATAACTCCCTCCATATATTCTCGAAAAACTCTATCACACTCTTTGCAACATCTGCCTTCTACATAACCTTTGATATCTCTACACCTTTGCTTACAACATTTTCTGAAACTCTACATCCTGTTTCCTCCATGACAATATTTCTTTTCTGTCTTTTAAAGACAGCTCAAACAACCATTCCTATGTGGCAGAATATGCTATGCTTCATACTAGAATTGTTTTAATACTTTCCTATCTAGATCACTTTGTATTTTGATTATGTATTTAATGTACTTAGACATATTATCTCATCTCTCTCATTGTTTTAAGAGTATTCAGACAACATAATCAACTTCCTAACAATTCTTTCTTTTAAGATGTTTGCTTGTTCCAAGGAACTCTTATGGTAAGCAACCTTATGAAAAGCTTCCCAATGATCCCTACCTCTTGATATTTGCAGTCTTGTGTGTCTCCTTGTCCTTCTCTGTGCCCTTGATCTAGTGGGCTGCTTCTATTGAAGGATCATGGGAACAATATAAGATATAATTTCTGAGATGAGATAATTTATAAAGATGAGCTGTCTTCTTGCTGGAACTGTCATTTTCTTTTCATTTTGATACACCAACGACCATATTGTGATCTGTCTCATGGAAAGGATCATG